CAGTCCACAACCAATGACTGGTGGATGCAGGGCTACAAAGGCCTGGCTCCTCTGCCCCAAGTTGGTTTGACTTTGAAGGACGACCCCAGCTACAGAGGCTCCTCATGGGCTCAGCTGAGTCTTCCTTGAGACCTCACCCAGCTCAGCCTCTCTCTGGGCTTTCTCCTGCTTCCTTCCCTTCTAGAGGTGTTGATCCCAAGAGCACTCCCTGATATGCTGATATCCGTCTCAGAGAATGTTTCCCAAGAAACCCACCTTCTGACATTGAGGAGGGGGTGGGCCTGTGCATTACAGGCGGGCACTTGGTGCCAGCACCTCATAAGTTTGCCTGCCCACGTGGAAGGGGCTGCTCCTGTGCCCAGCCACCTCTAAGCACCTCCCCCCGGAAGCTGCTGGGATTGGGATGAGGGAGAGATTTAGGAGCTTGGGAAAGCTGTGGGGAGGAGGGCTGTTCTCAGCCGAGCCTTCCTCAGGCTCAAGGCAGTGGCCACTGTGGGAAAGAGTCAGAAAAGCAGTTCTCACTCCTCTTTGTGATTTACGCTGGACAGCTCTGGGCAGCCTGGCCCGCCCCTCCTCCCTGAACAAGAGGGGCCCACAAAACTTCATGGTCTCCGCAGCCCTGGGCTTTGGCCTCACTTCCCTCCCAGCCTACTTCTCCTGTACCTGTCTGCAGTCCTGCTTTCTGGCTGGGAAACCAAGGAAAGTCATCCTTTATCTTCTGAGTTCCTCTGGACCACGCCTCCCCTCCAGCCAAGAGGCCAACAGCATCAGGGTCTAAAGATACCTGTGCCTTGGAAAACCACCTCCTGGGCTCAGCAGCTGGGGGAGAGGAGGCTCAGCTTCAGGGCTCTGTGGGCATCCAACACCTTTCATGGCTGACCATGGGCAAGTCACAGCACTTTAGCTTGCTCACCTGAGGAACGACACACCCCAACCCATTCTTCAAGGACCCACCTTGGAGTGTTCATGGCACACCTTCCTTCCTCCACTCTCATCACAGTGGCTGACAGAACCAAAGGAAGTAATGATGGGGAATCTGCACCAGCCCCCAAGTACCATGAAAGGGTATTCCCTGCCTAGGGAGGGAGACCTTCATCTCCTCTTTTTTGTCTTATGAAATGTTTATTTTTGAGAGACAGAGAGAGACACACACACACACACACAGAGAGAGAGAGAGAGAGAGAGAGAGAGAGAGAGAGAGAGAGAGAGAGAGAGAGAGAGAGAGAGAGAGAGAGAGAGAGAGAGAGAGAATGCATGTGTGAGTGAAGGAGGGGCAGAGAGAAGGGGACAGAGGGTCTGAAGTAGGCTCTGCACTGTCGCACAGAGCCCAACATGGGGCTCAAACTCACAAACCTCAAGATCATGACCTGAACCAAAGTCGGATGCTCAACCAACTGAGACACCCAGGTGTCTCTCACTCCTCTTTAAGGCAACTGGAGAAAACACACCAGCAAACAAGAAAAGATTAGGAGTTGGAACATTCTGAACCTTTTAAATGGCAGCCTTAGGAGTGGCGGGGGCCGGGGAGGGGGGGGATGATCCTCCAGGAAAAGACTGGTGGGGCAGGCCAGAGGCTGGGGTAAGCCGGGGGGCAGCCTGATGAGTCCTAACTGACTTATTTACAAACTATGGACCCAATATTTAGCCCAGCTATGGGCTCCTGGTTTTTCTAGAGAAAGCCAGAAATCCAAGTTTCTTTGTTTCCTTTCTCAAATGAAGTCTCCCGATTTTAAAATCTTGCCTACCAATTCAAAAATTTGAAAAATCACTGAAGGCCAAATCAAACACGTCCAGGGGCCAGATCGGCCGGCTGCCCCTTTGTGGCCTGGGATCTGCAGGTAACACAGCCTCCTCCTTGGCTGCTCTCAAGGCCTCTGCAATCTTTCCCCTGACATGCTTTGCCCTACAGCCTCCCCTTCTACTTCCAGCAATGACCACAACCATTTGAGTGCCTTTCAGTGTTGTACAGACTCTATGGTTAGTCCTCACAAGAAGAAAACAAAGATCAGAGAGCTTATCTACACATACGGCAAGTAAAGGGCAGATTCAAGATGTCTGACCACAAAGCCAGAGCTGATTCTTCTGTAGAGTTACCAGGGACTGATCTCGGGATTTCTCCCAAGTGAGACAGACAGAAAGGGTGGAGGGGAGGAGCTGGCCCCAGCCATTCACTTGTCCGCTCTAAGCTACTACAGGGGTAGTGGTCAGCCAGTCAGCACATTTGATCCTCTGTCTCTGGGCTCCTCTCTTGAGCAGCACACAGTCTACTGCAGTGGTTTCTGGGTCAGTCCCTCCAACTAGACTTTGAGCTCCTTGAGTTTGGGCCTGTATACCTTCTTTATCCCGGAAACTACAGGGAAATCATATAGATGTTTACCATGTGATAGACGGAAGCAACCAAATTAGATGCACCAGTCCAGATCTGCCCATGGAACCTCTGCTTGCCCTAGAGGCTTCAGATGTCTCTGTCTGCAGTCTGCTCCAGTCCCACCCCATCTGGGGTGACCTAAAGTTCTGTTTCTCTTCCTCTAAAATCACAAAAGTTGCTGTCTCCAACTCTCTGGTAGTTAGCGCTCAGTCCTTAGAAGGGCCTCAAACTATGTTTGTTGAAGTCAACGAGTATTTTTTTAAGTTATGCCCTGACCAAAGGAGCAAAGAGAACCAGAAATCCAGTCCACGAGCCCCTCACCAAGCCTCTGCCAGCCCGGGGGACGGGGGAACAGGCACCTTCTTCTTACTGTTTAAGAGGGGATGGCTTTTTGTCATTCTTTTGAATTCCTCATAGCTTGCATGAAGGCACGGTGCATGCTGGTGGAGACCCCATTTCTCTGCTCCTGGCACTGTGCCTGGTACACGGAAGGCCCTCATCATGTCCACTGAGTTCATTCACCTCAGCAGGCATCTACTGCATGCCTCCTATGTACAAGGTTTCACCACGGCTGAACCTCCTAGGAAGGTAGACAGATTCGTCTGCTGACATCAGCAGCACGTCTGCACAGGGCAGGCTGGAGTTAACTTCCCATCCAGTGAGCTGGCTTCCCTTAACATGGTTCAGATTTTATTATAGCTTCACTAGACACACCCTAGGAACTTGCTTCTTCTGGGATGGAGACCAAAACCCTCAGGGCCAAGGCCTGCATGTAACTGGAGTCTAAGCAGATAAGCGGGGAAGAGAAGCACAGGGCAAAATCACACCCAGACAGAGAGGTACGAAATGAGCTTTTCACCGTGGCCAGGACTGAAGTCCCAGGGTCCTGGCCGTGGCTCGGCCTGGCGCGAAGAGCCAAGGTCCTGGCCTCCATGCTCTGGTTCTGAATGCTACCACTCCCAGAGAGGGCCAGAAGTGCGTGGAATGCAAAGAGAAGTGTGCAGAAAGAAGCTGTACTCAGTGCCTAGTGCAGAGGTGGGAGTCGTTCAGGGAACTGGCAGGAACAGGGAGGGAGGGTCTGGGAGGAAGCAATGCTGGGGTGCCTCAGCCTCCCAGTCCAGCAGGGCGGTGCTGGCATCACCCCGAGAGGTATTTACACTGTGCTCAGTCAGCTCTAGCCCCTCCCCAGCTTGTGGGCCAGAACTACCCTCATGAAGCAGCTAGCAGATGTTCTGTATTTTTGCTTCACATGTTTCATCTGCAGAAGTGACATGACTTTTTTTTAATGTTTATTTATTTATTTTGAGAGAGAGGAGAGAACTCGAGCAGGGGAGGGGCAGAGAGAGAGGGAAAGAGAATCCTAAGCAGGCCTCACGCTGTCACTGCATAGCCTGATGTGGGACTCGAACTCATGAACCATGAGATCATGACCTGAGCTGAAATCAAAGAGTTGGGATGCTTAACCGACTGAGCCACCTGGGTGCCCCAAAAGTAACAATGATGTTAAATGTGAAAGCCCCCCGTGCTCTTCCACAAAAGTCCCTATGGCAGGAGGAGATCTGGGCATGTAGCCAGAAGCTAACAAGTTCCTACAAAGCTTCATGTCTTACATTTTAAAACCAACACAAAGTGTGCATTCTGTATTATATCCTGCTTATGATATAAACATGTTTTCCACTTAGATTTTTTTCAGTAAAACTGATATTCCAGGAAGAAGCAGGTTTACTTTGTCACTCCATATGGACCACCACCACTAACTGCATACACCCAGGCATGAAGGTACCATTCATCATAAGCTTTTCTCTTGTTGAAGAATATCCTCATCCCGTGTCCTCTCTCCAAAGCCTACGTGGCCAAACTCTACCCAATTCAGGGCCCTGCTCCAATGTCACTTCTCCCATGAAGTCTTTCTAAATTCCCCTTAGGCTAGAAGTAATCTCTGCCCTCAACCCTCAGCTCTCTCTGTGTGCTTCCTTTACCTCTGATCAGGTTCCTTGTTAGTCTTTTGTATCTCTGTTTTATTTTCCTCGTGAAAAGTCAGCTAGCGGAGAAGTTCTGATTTCTCCCCAAATCCACCATGGAAACTGGCAGTGTATATTTAGTAAGTACTCAATACATGCTGAACATGTCTTCAGACTACTACTGCTACTACCACTGATGATGATGATGATGATGATGATGATAAGGGCAATTTCACATGGCTGTGGGTCAATGTAAACCTCTGCTCCATGGTGCGCTTATGCTTGGCTCTCACCGGCCTGTGCTCTAGGCCTGGGAAAGCCTTTGGTGCAGTGGTTCATTTTCTAGCTGGGGATGCCTCTGGTCCCAGTTGAAAGGACTCACCCAACCACAGAACAGTAGCAAGGAAAATGGGACCAGGGGCGCCTGGGTGGCTCAGTCGGGTAAGCGTCCGACTTCAGCTCAGGTCACGATCTCACGGTCCGTGAGTTCGAGCCCCGCGTCGGACTCTGGGCTGATGATGGCCCAGAGCCTGGAGCCTGCTTCCGATTCTGTGTCTCCCTCTCTCTCTGACCCTCCCTTGTTCATGCTCTGCCTCCCTCTGTCTCAAAAATAAACGTTTAAAAAAAAAAAAAAAACTATTTAAAAAAAAAAAAAGAAAATGGGACCATACCTTAATATTGTCTTCTGGCCAAGAGTTCAGCATTGTTGCAAGGTGGCCCTTGTCATGAATGGTGATAAACAGCCCCCTAGGAAAAACAAAACAGGTACACACAGAGAAACCAGCCAGTCAGATTAGGAACAGAACAAAGACCACAATACTGTGTATCACTGCATCATTTAATTTTTCCCGCAGACCTGGGCAAAGGCAACCTCTAAATTGCCTGCCATGCCCTGGCCTTCCTCCAATGTCTCCTCTCCTCAAGGAGAGGAGTGGACTCCTCAAGGCAAGGAGTCCACGGGGCCAAGTGCTGTGCCCTCCTGGGGCCTGTGTTCTCCAGAGACTGCCCCTCCCTTCTGCCCTCTAGACCAGGCACACAGGACCCCAGAATTCTCTGAGGGACCCAAAGCTGCTTCAGGAAACTGTGTCGACCTCTTCTCTGAGGCCCACTCAGAGTACCCACTGTACTCCTTTGAGTACAGACCACACCACGGTGGGCAGACCCCTACGCCTGGGGCTGTGGCTGGAACATGGATGTGTGGGTTGTGGCATCCAGACACAGGCAGTGGGGGATGGAGCTGGGGAGAGGAGGAGGGGTGGGCTGCCAGCTGTGAGACACTTCTCCCTGCAGCACTAGAGCCTGTGACTTCTAAATTCAAACTTGGCCTTCCAGACCAGCATGAAGGTGTATCTGTAAAGGCGGGGGTGGGGGTGGAACATTATTTTACATAACAGTTCATTAGCATGATTTAGAACTTCTAAAGTTCAGCCCTCTGTATATGGACCTGAGTCTTTTGCCCTGGGATCGGGGTATGAAGATGGGATAGTTCGTGCCACTTCCTTCTTTCCCTTTTGTCCGATACACCCAAAAAGACTCCTTTTGCTAATGAAGCACTCACTGTTTTGCCAATGTGAGGAGGCCGGGGAGTTGTGGGAGAACAGCCTCCCCCATTCGCACTGCCCTGGCAAACTCAGAGAAGACTTCCCAACAGTACTTCATGGCTTCGTGAGATACTCACATTTTGGATCTGTTATTTAAATCATGCCCTAGTTGGGGCGCCTGGGTGGCGCAGTCGGTTAAGCGTCCGACTTCAGCCAGGTCACGATCTCACGGTCCGTGAGTTCGAGCCCCGCGTCAGGCTCTGGGCTGATGGCTCAGAGCCTGGAGCCTGTTTCCGATTCTGTGTCTCCCTCTCTCTCTGCCCCTCCCCCGTTCATGCTCTGTCTCTCTCTGTCCCAAAAATAAATAAAAAAAAAAACAAACAAAAAAAACGTTGAAAAAAAAAATAAATCATGCCCTAGTCAATGCTGTCAACACCCTGGGCCCTGTTCTTTAGTCTCAGCAGTCTTGTAAAACTCCCAACTGTGGACAAACCTCCTCTCTGCTCCCTGTACGCCTCCACCCAGGGGGCCGAAGGCAGGCGGAGAAAGTCTTACCACAGGACTGAATGGCACTTCCACAAATCCGTCACTGTCACCCCCCCCACCGTGGACTCTCAACAACCGACCGGTCTTTGTTCTTTCAGTGTTTCTCCAGTCAAAATCCACTCTTTCTACTCTTTGCAAAGACCATTTTAAACTTCTCTGTTCTCAAACCTCCAACAAACAGCCTCACCTTCCCCCAACACCCCTAGTGACCTCGCCTCTGATGTCACATGAAGCCACGGGATGGCATCTCTGTCAACCTCCCACCACCAAACCTGCAAACTTCTGCATCTGCAGACAGTTCCTTCATTCCTTCTGTTCCAATGAATATTATAAAGTCTTATACTTAATTACCTCTTCTCTCCTCTTCACTGTCCCTTAACTTCCCATCAGCCCCACAATATCCCCGAACCTTTATCGTCTTACAAACTTCTGGCTTTTGTTAGTGACAGTTTGTTGAATGGACTAAACTTTCTTCAGATAACAATAATAAAACTGTTATTTTTATTTTTTATTTATTTATTTATTTATTTAAAAAAAAATTTTTTTTTCAACGTTTATTTATTTTTGGGACAGAGAGAGACAGAGCATGAATGGGGGAGGGGCAGAGAGAGAGGGAGACACAGAATCGGAAACAGGCTCCAGGCTCTGAGCCATCAGCCCAGAGCCCGACGTGGGGCTCGAACTCACAGACCGTGAGATCGTGACCTGGCTGAAGTCGGACGCTTAACCGACTGCGCCACCCAGGCGCCCCCAAACTGTTATTTTTTAAAAATGATTATATTATTGTTACAAAGCTTAAGAGTGTATAAAATATACATTTTGAGGCAATGGAGGTTGGCTAAAAGCAGGCAGAAACTGAAAGGGAATTTACCTTTGAAAGCAGGAATTACACCTCTCGAGATTTACGAATTTGCAGCTTCATGTCTGAGGGGAGTCTAGTCTGAAGGCAACTTAGGGCAGCAGAGAGCCTTCCCAGCTCGAGGTGTCAGAGAGGGGAGTTAGGGCTGATAGAACAGCCAGGAAGTGAAAGGGGGCATTCTGGAAGGGAAGGAGCCACAGAAAGAATGAACTCCCAGGTCTGGGTATAAAACCCACCCACATCATTAAGCTGCGACCATCACCTGGGCACACACGAGGACCTGGTAAAGAAGCCGCAGCTGCGAACAGCAAAACCCCAACAGAGATTTCAGTTGCTGCCAATCTGGAGAGGCAGGGTTTTACACAGAGCTCCTTTAGAATATTCTGCTTACTTTATGCATGTTAGACATTTTCCATCAAAAAAAAAAAAAAAACTGAAACAAAACAAACCAACAAAGACCACCATGGAACCCCAAACTATTCTTGGCTTCCATGTTCCTTGCCAACACTGTTTCTTCTCTCTCCTCTCTTCCATCACCAAACTTCTTAAAAGCGTGGTCTAAACTGGCTGCCTCCGGTTTTTGTCTCCAGCTGCAGCATGCCTTCTCTCACGGTCATGCGGCCAAAGCTGCACTTGCTAAGGCCGCCAATGACTTCCATATCCCTGAATATAACAGGGATTTTCATTCTTCATTGCCTTTGGCTTCCCAGTAGCATTGGACACTTTTACCTACTCCCATCCAACCTTCGGCCTCTGTGACTCTCTCTTTGAGTCTTCCTCTTACCTCTGGCTGCTTGAAGTTCTTTGTCTTTCATGTAGGGCCATCCAGCTATTAGGTGTTATAGTTCCTCAAAAACTTGTACTATTTCGCTTTCCTTCCTACCCTTATTACTGTATGTGCCCCAAAGCTTTGGGCCAGTGACTCTCAGATATCCACAGTCCAGAGTTTCTCACCTTTGGTGCTACTGACATCTGGGTTGGATAATTTTTGCTGTGAGAACTGAGGTGGCCCTGTGCACTGTAGGGTGTTTGGCAGTATCACTGGTCTCTACCTACTATGGCAATAGCACCCCCATACTCTGTTGTGACAACCGAAAATATCTCCAGACATTTGTAAATGTCTCCTGGGAGGCAGTGTCACCTCTGGATTTAGAGCCATTGTTCCAGCCCTTTATATTTAACTGTGTACCTGACACATCCCTTTGCATGTCTCAAAGGCACTTCAAACTTGGCAGGTCCAAAACCAAGTCTCTGATCCTAATCTCCCACCACTATGACTCCAAGACAGAACAAAACAAAGACCCAAGACAAACCTGATTCTCTTCCCTTCCTCCTTTTCTCAGTGAATATTAACCCCTCACCCCACACTCCCATCTAGTATATACATCTAGTTTAACAATCCCAGTCCCCTGGAATCAATCTTCTCCCCTTTAACATAACCCAATGCCAAGTCCTTCAATTCTACCTTCTATGTAGCTCCTGGTTCATACGCTTCTTTCTACCCTAACATCACCTCCCTGGTCCAGGCTCCTATTCTCTCTTCCCTAAAGAGAGAGTGGGGTGTCCTTTGGGGCACTGCCTCTTGTCTGTCTCCAATCCATTTTCCATACAGTATAAAGAGAGAGGTTCTTGAAATCAAAGTCTTACTTCGTTATTCCTTGTGCTTGTCTTCCCATGACTCTTGGAATGAAGACCCAAATCCTTAACATGGCCGACCTGCAAGGCCTTGTGTGGTCTGGCCCTTGCCAACTTATTATCCTTACTTCACTCTCCCGTCATCTGCCACACTGGCCTTCTTTCCATCCCTCCACGTGCCATGATCTTCTTACGCCAGGACTAGTTCACATACTGTTCCCTTGCCGGGCACACCCTGCGTCTCCTCACTCTTTTTATTTTTATTTATTTACTTAAAAAATTTTTTTTAACGTTTATTCATTTTTGAGAGACAGAGAGACAGAGTACAAGTGGGGGAGAGGCAGAGAGAGAGGGAGACAGAGAATCCAAAGCAGGCTCTAGGCTCTGAGCTGTCAGCACAGAGCCCAACGCGGGGCTTGAACTCACGAACCGCGAGATCATGACCTGAGACGAAGTCAGATGCCCAACCGACTGAGCCACCCAGGCGTCTCTCTCCTCACTCTTTGTTTAGTGAATCCTCCTCATTCTTCTGATGACTTCCGAGTCAAAGCCGGAGCTCTCTGTTACACGTTCTCAAAGTACCATCCCTGCATACACAAACTTCTTACATTCATTTGTGTGGCTGTTTTGTTAATACGTCGCTACCTCCCTAATTAGACCGTAAGCTTCACTGGGGCAAGGTGAACATTTATTTTGTTGTTGTTGACTACTGTACATCCAGGCTTAGTCCATAATAGATGCTCAACACCTGCTTTGCGAATCAATGGAGGGAGCAAGTGAACCTGATAATGGCTGGAGGTTGAGGGATGAGAATGAAAGGTGCAGAATAAAGTTGGAGAGAAGAAAATTTTTATGCATGTGGGGTTGTTTCATGCACCAGGGATCACTAAGGCTGGGTGGGGCTGGGCTGGGTTAGACTGTGCCCTGTGGCTTAAACCAGGGGAATGCACATATGAAAGTGGGTGGACACGCCGGGGAAGAAGAAAACCCCGGAGTCTAAGACTTGGGGGATGCAGGGCTCCTTCCATCACATTGATGGAGGGCAATGTGGGTGTTGGAATGACCTTATTCACAAGGTTTGAGAGCAAGTTCCAGCATTTGCTGTGCCATTTTGAAATGACCAAGGGGCACTCAGTCATATCAATGAAGATGAAAACGAGGCATTG